AAAATTTGTAAAAAATTCAAATTGAATATGCAAGCGAACTTAACGCAAACATGAAAGAAAAAATTCCAACAAAACGCAATCGAAAACTATGCAAGAACAACAAATCGAAACAATTCATGATGTTTGGCGAAACAACATAAACACAAACAAAAACCAAAAAAAAAACAAAGCAAAAACGAGCGCAGCAGCAAAACTATTTAAAATATTGCAAATGAAAAGTAAAGAAATTGCCATGCAAATTGGCTGTGCGCTGCCGCTGCTGGTCCACTTCATGCTTGAATTTCTCATCCACTTCATATTTGCCATTTACCGGGCAAGTTGTGCAACAAGCTCGAGTGTGGCGGCGGTGGAGGACGTCCATCGTCCAGCATGAATCCTTGACCGGCGCCCATGCCAATGCTACCCATATCGATGCCACCGTTTCCTGTTGCGCCAGCGATACCGCCACCATGACCCATGCCAACGCCGCCGCCATGTCCTCCCACCATACCCATGCCGCCGGGACCACCACCACCAGCAGCATTCATGGCAGCACGTTGTTGTAGCGCAGCAAGACCAGCACCAAGTGGATGTTTGCCCACAGCCATCAGCTCACCAGTGGCGCCACCACCGCTCATATTAGCCATGCCCATGCCGGGTAGCATCATGCCCTCTGTTGTTTTGTGGTGGCGGGGTGGGAAGTGTGATTTTGTTGTTGAGCGATTTCGCGTTGATGTTAGTGGGTAGGTAATAAACGAAAATGTTGGCATTTTCCGGTTGGTTTTGTTGTTTCCGTTACACACATTTGTTGTTGAAGCGATACGGTGAAGGGGCGAAATAGCGGGGGAGCCATTGGATTAGCGACATAAAGTTGTAGGTTTCCATGGAACGCATACACACACACACACACAACAACACAGTTGGATGTGGGGGAGGCAAACATTTCCGTAGCAAAAACCGTGTGCAGTTAAAAGGAGAAATGCAAAGAGAATTATGAATTAGCAACGGATGTTATTGGAAAAAATTTTATATAAAAATACATAAATAGTTTTATACAAAGGTGCACATTTATGTTCGAGTATTTAGCTGGAATTTTTTATGTGCTCATTAACGTAGATTACAAGGTAAATCGTTAGTTGATATGGAAATGCTATTCCATATGATTTAATAATATTAGCTTGTCAGTGCAATAAAGTAGTATAATTGCAGCAAGTGGGCATACGTCATCGAAATGCAAATTCCGTATGGAACACATTTTGTGAATATATTTACATGTGTTTTAGTGTTAAAATTTTTTGTTGTCTCTGACTCGCCCTAAAAAATCCAAAATCTTCAAATTCTTTAAAACCTCTTTATTTACAATGTGCGAAAAAAAAAATAAAAAAAATTATTAAAAACACGCGAAACATTGAATATACTGACAAAACTAAGGGCCAGATATAGTAAAACTGCGTTTTTAGTTTTTCACTCCGACGTCAGGAGTTTTTTAAAGGACTTTGAAATTTTAAAGATATGATTAATTAAAAAAAA